ACTTGGTTACTCCACATGACATTAAATTGAAACTTTTTCCCATGAAAATGATATAAACGTTTTTCAAAATATGAAACAAACTTTTTTTTTTCTCTCTCTTAATTGCCATTGACCCTAATACCTGGAAAGAGCTTCTCCTATCTCAGTGCTGGCGCATGCACCTCTGGAACTACACGACTTCATTTGGATCACGTTTTGTTGTTTGCCGGGTGCATTCACTGTTATTCTTAGCAGCACAGGTCTGGGCTCTTATTGATTCCTAAAGCGCGTGTTGCCACCAGCTTAATCGTGTTTGCTGGTAAACATCACCCCTGTTCTGCACAAGGGTTTCTGCTGTAAGTTGAATCGTGCCCGTTTGTGTTGACTGTGACCTTGCTGTTGAGTGAGCGATGCTAAGTGCAGCGCAGCATGAAGAATGAAGTGCTGTGAATAACGAGGGGAATCTAAAGTGTGAGAGGGGGACACAGACTCCCTGACGGATGCAGGACAGAGCGAGAGCTTCAACTGATTGCAGTGGACAGACCTTCTGCCAAAGACATACTCAAAGCTTTTATGTCGAACCAAAGACTCTTATGTGGACAGTCAGTCACAACAAAGTATCTTTGTTTTCATTGTTTTTGCTTTTATAATATTCTGTAATTATATCATGGTTTTCCTACAAAAATAAAGGTAACAATAACTATTTACACTAACGATCAAAAGTTTGAAAACAAGATTTTTTTTCTGCTCACCAAGGCTGCATTTATATGATACAAAAATACAGTAATACATTTGTGAAATATTATTACAGTTTAAAATGTATTTTAAAATGCAGCATTACTCCAGTCTTTAGTGTCACATGATCCTTCAGAAATCATTCTAATATGCTAATTTGCTGAAAAACATTTCTTATATAAACATAAATTTTTTTTCATCAAAGACTCCTGAAAAAATTTATCATGAATTCCACAAAAATATTAAGCAGCACAACTGCTTTCAACATTGATAATAAATATAATATAATATCAATGTTTTGTTTTAAATGTAATGTCTATAGAAAAGTTGTTGTAAATTGTAATAATATTGCACAGTAATACTGTTTTACTGTATTTTTGATCAAATAAACTTCTAGTTCATTCAGATGTTGATTCAGTAACTACTCTGATTCAGTGAGTTCATTCAGAAAAGGATTCATCTGACAGATTCAAACTAAGAATTGAATTTATGAGTCTTTTTGAACACTTCATAATTCAAAATTGAGTTATAGCTGCACTGTAAAAAAGGTTATTAATAAAAGGAGAACATTTTACAAGAAAGTGATATTTCAGTCTTTCTACTTAAAAATGTCATGTTTAATTCAATGTTGCTTGCCATTTCTTAGTAATCATTTGTAAAATTGACTAGTAATTTCTGAGTAAAATTTTTTTCAAAATCCTTAATTTTTTTTTCAGCGCATATCATTTCCAGCTTGTTGCAAATTTTTGAAGAAAGATTTTTAAAAATTGTGAAAAATGTACTAAACATATTTCTAGCAAATATAAAAATGCATTGTTAAAAATAAAAACGAGTCATTGCTTTTTGTCATCTCACAATGCTTTTTTTGTAATTTTTTAATGACCATTATATCCAGGGATGCACATAAGTGGTGCGCATGTGCGACCAAAATAAAAAATGCGCTGGGTAAATAAGTTCTGATCACTGGTTTGCTTACTGACATGGTTGGCAGCTGTTAATGCACAATCACCGTTTAGATCGACTAGATTTCCATTAGAAGTGAAAGCATAAAAATAAAAATAAAAGCTTAAAAAAATAAAATAAATAAAACCGTGCTGATTTTATGTTTAAAAGTGATGAAAATTCATTAAAAAAAATTATTAAATAAATAAAAAGTAATTAAATAAAATGAAAATGTAAATATTTTTAAGTGTACTAAAATATTTTTTTATTTGAATTTAATCCTCACCTTTTAAAATATAATAGTATTATCACACTTAATGTATTATTTTGTTTATTATTTTATAAAAAATCAAGTGCAATAAAAATCTGATTACTATTATGAATTATTTTATTTTTTATAGTTATATTTAATGGGTCACACTATGTGCAGTGTGACACCAAACCAAATCTCCAGGTGCTCTCGTGAGAACCAGACTGAAAAACTTATAACGCTACAACTGCCATAATGATGTCATAATGACCACTATAGTGGTATATTGTCCTTAAAGTCCCCATGAAATCAAAATTAAAGTTTTTTTGGGTGTTAGTATCAATATGTTAGTCTTAAGGTTATCTATAAGGCAGTGTGCTCCAAAACAGTGACAAAATTCGCATTTAGAAGATATAAGCATTCAAAGCTTGCAGTTCGTCACTTCCGCCAAAACGGCTCAACGATTTTTTTGACGTCACATCGTACTTCAGCTTCTCATCAAACTTTCTGTCCAATCAAATGCTCTCTAGAATCCGAAGCACCCACCCCCTACACTATAAAATAGACGCTGAAGCCGTGGCTGAAATCGGTCACTTGTCCACAGAATTAGTATTTTCTGTACAGTGAATGGCACGTAGTGCACTATATAGGGGACAGGGAACGATTCAAACAGTGTAAATATGCTTTCCATTGAGGAAAAAAAGAAGTCTGGTTTTGCGCTGTGTGACGCTAACCACCGCACCGCACACACACTCTGCTCCGGTCCAGAGACACGATAGCACGGAGCGGATCACATGCGCGAGTCGGCGCAGACCACAAAATGTATCGGAGCTATTTGAATTCTACACAGAATGCTATATTTTATAGCAATATGGATGAGATTGTGGCTGGCATACCCGGTCAAATGCGGCTTTACGGAGCTCAACGGCTCTGAACCATAGAACGGCTCTAGCCCAAGCTGTGATATAGACGAACGCTATTGGCTATTTTAAAAAGGGGCGGGGCTGCTTGATATGTCCCGCCCTGTCTTCCTGTTTCAGTTAAAATTGTCAACACATAGAGTAACGCTGCGTTGATAGATTGAATAGATTGATAGATTGAATTAATGAACCCCAGGTCATTTTGTGAATCCAGAAGTTTCAAGAACTTTAGACTGCTATGATAACTCCCATGAAAACAGCAGAAGTGAACTGTGGACAGAAGGAGAGACATGAACGCTCAATCAGAACCATGAAACTCAATTAATGCCAATGTAAAATTGAGTACAAATCAGGATTTATCCTCACTCTGTCAGACATAAAAACACAGATGTGCATTACAGATGTTGTTCAAGACAGGTCGGCCCCTGAGCTCACCCAGCGGTGCTCACAGTATGGAGTTCAATTCGGTCTCATCTCACTTTATCTGTCCTTGTGTTTCCATCTGGATCTCCTTCTCTTCTCTGCATCTCTCTCATTCCATCCTCTTTTTCTTTAAGCTGATCGTTTAGCCGGATGCATGCAGCTTTATTTTCAACAGTCATTAGCAGTGTGACTCTAAACTATAATTTCTAACAAGTTCAGTGTACTGAAGAAAATGTTTGGAAACCAGTTGCCTTATTTTTAAGCAAACTTAAAGAGAAAATTGAAGTAATCCGCTTAAAAAGAAGAAAACAGACTCCTCCTGAATAAATTAAGTAATAAATATCAAGTTTAACACGTACATTTCAGTTCAATATATTCTAGAATGTTTTCTAATATTAATATTTGATAGTAAGATTACTGTGTTAATTCATTAACTTTGTTACATTTTGTCCTGCAAACATCCATAATGCTGTTATTCTCAACATGGACTTAGTCTTCCATTTTAAGCAATGTAGACGTAAAAATATGTGCAATCGATTTCCAACATTAAGTAAACTGAACATGTTTTGGCACAATAAAGGGATATGGCAAATGAAGTGAAATCAAAGATGAAAATAAACATGCGATCATTTCGATTGCAAAACTGCATTGCATAAAGTTAATGACAAAACTGCAATAATAATTATGTTTGAATAAATTATTTACATGTATTATGTACATAATATTGGATTATTAGACACTTAAAATAATCAATATTGAGAGGAAAAAAGAAGCAAAAATCAGTATTAAAATCAGCACTGATCTCTAATTAACATGCTGGCTGATTAAACATTTATGATGTATATGAGTTGTTAAAGACAGACATTTGCAAGTTTTCCTAAATAAATAAATGATATTTTTAATTTGAATTAAAAACATAAAAGTTATAAATCTTCAAATGTCACCAAAATGTTATTGTTTATGCGTTTTAGTTGCAGCATGAATAATGAATTTCATTAAAACATTATTTGCAAGAATAGTGCTTGTCAGGAGCAGAGAGCAAGAGATGTATATGAGACACAAGATGTTATATATCATTAGTACACATGTACATCATCCAAGAAAAACTAAAGAAATGAACAATGACCAATAAACATCAGTGTCGTCAATATTTCATACTGATTTGATGATGTTTTTGCTGCTTTTTTCTTCTCAATGTGGACTATTTTCATGTGTCTAATAATCCAATATATGGAACTAATTTTGAATTGTTACATAATACAAAATATGATTTGTGAATAATTTATTAAAAATAATCATTGCTGTTATGCCATTAACTTTCATTGCATTTTACAGTAAATCATTCACATTTCTTCTTAATAACTAGTTAGAAATTTTTCCAGATGTAAAAAAAAACCAGAATATATATATATATATATATATATACGGTATATATATATGTATGTGTGTGTGTATATTGAATCTCTGATTGAATCTTCTTTTAAACTTGTTCTTTCAAGGTCACGGCACAAGCTTGCCATTGATTCTTGTATAGGGAGTAATTGAATATCAATCTTAATATTTCACATACACCCACTGTATTATATTTTAATATTTCACATTTCATCAATTTTTAATTAATTCATCATCACACAAATAATATGTGGTAGAATTGATGGCACTCATGATTAATTATTGTTGTCCTGAGCGTAATGTTTATAATAAGAATTTCATAACAGCAAGGTAATGAAAAATTGTGTATTGTGTTTCAGCGTTGTTCAGTTGGATTCGTCCCGCACACCAGAACCGCGTCACATTCTTTCTCGCCACTCCCTCCCCATCACCGACATCCACTGTGGCCTGATGGGACCACAAGCCCGTGTTGCCACCGCATCCCTGGACCAAACCGTTAAGGTGAGTTTTGCTCAGTCTCTCCTGATGTGGCCGTAAAGGATGTAAATGATGTACATTGCAAAATCTGAAATTAATTTCAGTGTAAATGCATTTTTATAAACCTAATGACCATGTGAACAAGGAGGCACATAATTGATTGTGTTTGCTTTCAATTCAATTAAAATCTTTATAATAATAAGATTCATAGAAAATTGATTTTTGCTGCTTGTTCAGTTTAGTTAATTAAAAGAGCTACTGCAACACAATTGGTGAACATTTTGTGCAATCTGTTCTATTTTTTTCAAGTGGAAGTTTCTGTAATGCATTTGTGGTGGGACTATATGTATAATTTTTGTTGTCAGTTCTTTGACAATATATTTTTGAGTTCATTATATAAAAAGAACATACCGTTATATCATTACATAAAATCGAATAAATCTAATAAATAATACAAAATAAAATAAATATAAAACTATAACAGCCATTGTTTGGTAAAACCTGTTTGAAATGCATTAAAAATATGTAAAAGAAAAATAAATTAGTAATATAATATACAAATATTTCCAATTCTTGTTCAAATAGAATGACTTTGTCAAAGAGACATTGAATGATGGTGCAGACTGCTCAAACAAATAATATTTTGCCCAGAAAGCCTTAATTTAATTACATAGCAAAGTAAATGCAATTCATTGTTTTTTATTTTTGTGTAGTGTATAAATCAATCATAGATCAATAAATAAATAAAATATATGAAGCTCTGTGCATCTTAATATAGTTAAAGATGTTTAATACCTCTGTTTGTGTCCATTTGTTGTTCCAAATAACATTTACTGTAAATGCCAGACCACTTTAAAATGCATCTCCACATCCTTATGGTCCGCATGTGCCACCTACACACATCTTTGTGTTTTTCTAATGCTTTAAATGGGATGCCCATTTTATCTTGCATAGAAGACTTATTTAATATGCTGATGTCTTCATTGGTTCTGTTCAGCTTTTGAAAAATCACTTGAAAAACATACATATTTATGAATTCATATTTCTCTGTGGTACGCACCTAAAGCTGTCTCACGTGTAATCCAGTTTGTAGCTTATTTAACTTGCTAAACTCTCATAATGGCATCAAGAAATTGGGTCATGAATGGGGTACTTGGCTTGAGATGATGTGCTGTCTTTTCTTCCTTGCTTTATGTGGGAAGATGCTCTTAAATGAATGTTTGCTGCGATGAAACCTTGGATTGTCATTCAGGGGAAGTTTGCATCCCATTTGCGCTTGTTCTTTGTTTTGATGTGCACTTTTTTATAGACCTTGTTAGGCATTTACAAGCCTCCTGTCTTCCAGCTAAAACACTTAAAACGAGGTAATTTTGTTTTAAACGGACAATAATGTATGGACAATAACGCCTCTCCTTCCTCAAGTCCGAAACTTTGCTGAAATGTGATTTTCCTGCTAATGAATGTGACATAGGGGCAGTAAGTGTCTGGCTGTGATGTAAACTGCGTAAGCAGCAGATGACAGTCCCTATGCTGCTGTTTCTCCTGTGGCTTCAGGCGACATGGTTGATTTGACTGAGAAGACTGTGTGACGATCAATGCCAGAGAGAATGATGTCCAGTGTGATGGACTGTATGGTCTGAACCGAGATTCATACAATATTTGACACATCTGATGGTTCACACGAGTTTGAAAACATACTAGGGTCGACTGATGGATAGTGCTGATTAGGTAGTAAATAAAAAAAGGTTAATTTAAAGGGGTACTTCAGCCAAAAATCATTTACTCACCCTCAAATTGTTCCAAACCTGAATAAGTTTCTGGTCCCCATTGACTTATTTTTTCCCATGAAGGCAGTGGGGACCAGAAACTGTTTGGCTACCGGCAATCTTCAACATATCTTGTTTTTTGTTCAACAGAAGAAAGAAACTCATGCAGGTTTGAAACAACTTGAGTGTGAGAAAATTATGACAGAATTGTTATTTTTGGGTGAACTGTGCCTTTAAGACATGATATCATTGCAGCAGATGAGTAAATAATTAAATAGACATTACACAAACTACCTTTCTAAAATATTTGTTAAATTTCATTAGACTTAATCTGTTGGCTAAAGTCCACAGTAATTTATTTTGCAGTCCTAAGTAGATGGGAACATTCTGTGTACGTGTTTTTTTTTTTTTGGGTTGCTGGTTAATTAGTGCCTCGCACATGAATAAATGATTCTTTCATTATCATCATTATAAATATTATCATATTTATTATGTTGAAAATAGTTGTTTTGCTTAACATTATTGTGTAAACCATGCTACTTTTTTTTCCCGATTTTATTTGATGAATAGATGTATTTGGAACTGATTTTTTTTTGTGTTTGTGAAATTAGAATCATCTTTACTGTCACTTTCAATCAAATGATTATGTCCTTGGTGAATAAAAGTATGAATTTTTTTGCAAAAAAATGTTACAGACCCCAAACTCGCGAAAGAATATGTATGTCTGTGTGTATTTATGTATATATACACTTGTTACGACGTCCGACACAGCTGCACCACCACAGCTCCCTGTCAGACCCAAACAATTAATTTAAACAACAACGCAAGGTTACTATAACGATAGAGCACCTATTTTACGAGGTGCCCGGAGTCTCATCTCCCCCTTTCAAAACAAAAACATCAAAACCAAGAAGTATCATCAAAAACGACAATTTATTTATTAGGAGACAACAACATAAACTTCAGGATAGGGACAGAGCCAAAATAATAAACAAAATTAGCAAACTAAGTGTCGTTTAAACCTCTTTCCTGCATGAAATAAACAACAAAGAAAACACATTATCTTACCTCCCAACTAACCTCAAAACAAGAGAAAACTGAAGGAAAACAAAAGGCACCCTCGTACATTAAACAGGTAGTTTAACGGTCATGCACACAATTACAACAAGCAAGCTTTGATGTAACATCGGAGGTACAACATAATTTGACAACATAAATTCAAACTAAACAACTGAGCAGGAAGAGAGGAGTATCTTCCGGACGGCTTTACATCAGCTCTACAGAACCTCTGACGCCACCGTAACAACATGCACCTGTGCGCACTAACAAGCGCTGTTAAAGGGGTCATCAGATGCAAATTCACTTTTGTTGTTGTTTGAACATAAATGTATGTTGGAAGTGTGTGTACACATCCACCCTATAATGATAAAAATCCACCCAGTGTTTTTTTTTTTTTAATCCCTATTTTAAAATCCCCTTTCTCAAATC